CCAGCCGCGTCAGTGAAGCGCTCTGGGACACTATCCTGCGTGAGGGGGTGCATTGTAAATGCAAGTTGTCGTTGATTCTCTTTCCGTTCTGTTTAGCAAGAACCTCCTATTCCACTCCAGGAGCTGTTTGTTGACCATTGGAAAGGCATCACCAGCTATTACATCCTGACCACAGGTAGGTCAACCGCCATCACTGCTCCCCTTCACTCCTCATCCCCCTCCCCCTCACACACCACCCTGCCTCGCACTTCCCTCACACCACCTCCTCACATCCCCCTCACACCCCACACACACACACACAACAACAACAAACAACGTCCTAAAGCGCTGAACAGTGAGGTGTCGGGGCTCGAGCAATAGGGGGGGAGTGGGGTAGGGGTGAGGGAAGGCAGAGAGGTGGGAGGGAGACCAAAGGCACGATCAAAGAGAAGGGTCTTGAGACCGGCCTTGAAGGAGGCAAAGGAGGAAGTGAGGCGATGGGACCGTGGGATGGAGTTCCAGAGTGTGGGGGCAGAGAGGCTGAAAGCCCGGACACCGATGAGCGGGAGACATGGAGCAGACCAGAGCCCACTGAACGGAGGGAGCGGGCAGGTTGGTAGGGAGTCAGCAGGTCAGAGAGGTAGGAGGGGGCGAGGCCATGGATAGCCTTTACGGTGAGGACGAGGATCTTGATCCTCTGGGGGATGGGGAGCCAGTGCAGTCGGGCGACGGTGGGAGTGATGGGGTCGGGCGAGGTTGGGAGTGATGGGGTTGGGCGAGGGTGGGGTGATGGAGTCGGGCGAGGGTGGGAGTGATGGGGTCGGGCGAGGGTGGGAGTGATGGGTCGGGCGAGGGTGGGGGTGATGGGGTCGGGCGAGGGTGGGGTGATGGGGTCGGGCGAGGGTGGGGTGATGGGGTCGGGCGAGGGTGGGAGTGATGGGTCGGGCGAGGGTGGGAGTGATGGGGTCGGTCGAGGGTGGGAGTGATGGGGCCGGGCGAGGGTGGGAGTGATGGGGTCGGCGAGGGTGGGAGTGATGGGTTCGGGCGAGTGTGGCCGTCAGGAATTTTGGGTGATCTGCAGGTTGTGAAGGGAAGAGGTGGGAAGGCCGATGAGGAGGGAGTTCCTGTAATCGAGCCTTGAGGTGACGATTGTGTGGGTGAGGGTTTGGGGGCCTGAGGGGTGAGGCAGTGGCGGAGTCTGGCAATGTTGTGGAGGTGGTGGTAGGCAGTGCCGGTCATGGCGCGGATGTGGGGGAGAAAGGACAGTTCGGGGTCAAACAAGACCCCCAGGTTCCTGACCGGCTCAGTGAGGGTGAGTGTGCAGCTGTGGAGGCTGATGCTATCCAGCGCCTGAGGTGCGGAGGCGCTGGCGTGAGCCAATCAGGAGGGCCTCGGTCTTGCTGACGTTCAGTTGGAGAAAGTTGTCCCTCGTCCAGGACTTGATGTCGGACAGACAGTCGGTCAGGACCTCAGTACTCCTGGAGTTCAAGGTGGAGGCAGAGAGATGGAGTTGGGTGTCATCCGCATACATGTGGAAATTTACCCCATGTCTGCAGTTGATGTCACCACAGGGGGAGCATGTAGAAGGTGAAGAGGAGGGGACCGAGGACAGAGCCCTGAGGAACACCGCACGAGATGGTGCGGGGGCCTGAGGAGAAGCCGTTAGTGGAGACAAAATGAAGATGGTGGGAGAGGTAGGACCTGAACCAGTCAAGGACAGAACCTTGAAGGTTGAGGTGGGAGGAGAGGCGGTGGAGGAGGATTGAGTGGTCCACGGTGTCAAGGCGGCGGAGAGGTCGAGGAGGATGAGGAGGCAGAGGGAGCCCTGGTCACACATGGTCAGGATGTCATTTGCAACACAGAAACCCGATTGGAGGGGTTCATGGAGGGAGTGGGAGGAGAGGAAAGAGCGAAGCTGAGAGGCAACGGCTCTCTCAAGGACCTTGGATAGGAAAGGGAGGTTTGAGATGGGCCGGGAGCGGATAGCTGTGATGGGTCGAGGGAAGGTTTCTTCAAGGTGGGGGTGATAGTGGCTGTTTTGAGGGGGGATGGAACAGTGTCAGATGACAGGGAGAGGTTAATGATGTCAGCGAGTAGTGGGGCAAGGAGGTGGAGCTGGGATTTAAGGAGAGGGGTGGGGATGAGGTCGAGGGAGCAGGTGGTGGATTTCATGGAGGTTACCGTGTTGAAGACAGGAGGGAGTGACAGGTTAAAGGTGTGGAAGGAGGGATGGGTAATTGTCGGATGGTTAATTGTGTGAGGTGAGGGTAGGGAGGGTTTGGAAGTTGGGAGGGCAGTGGCAGTTGAGCGGATTCCCTCGATTTTGGACTCGAGTAAGTCCAGTATTTTCTTGCAGTGAGAGTCAGAGGAAAGTATCTGCGAGGCGAGTCGTATCCTCTCATCACCTCCTTACACCCCTTCAATCACACCACACACCCCACTGCTGTGCGCAATTGGCTGCCTCGTTTCGCCCACACAAAATATACAGTCACTACTACAACAACAACAAGATTCCATGTGTACAGCACCTTTCAGTCGGGAGGACATCCCAAGGCACTGGACAGTGACAGCATTTCAGACCCGAGCTGGGGTCAGGGGGGGAGGCGGGGGGGGGGCAATGGCATGGTCGAAGAGGAGGGTCTTGAGACGGGACTTGAAGGAGGCTAAGGAGGGGCCGAGGCGGAGTGACTGGGGGATGGAATTCTAGAGATTGGGGGCAGAGAGGCTGAAGGCTCTCCCGCCAATGGTGGGGTGGGTGGGGGACGTGGAGCAGCCGGAGCGGCTGAGGGGAGGGAGCGGCGGGTTGGTAGGGGGTTAGGAGGTTGCAGAGGTAGTGTGGGGCGAGGCCATGGAGGGCTTTGTAGGTGAGGACCAGGATCTTGAACTGGATCCTGTGAAGGATAGGGAGGCAGTGGAGTCGGTCGAGAGTGGGGGAGATGGGGTCACGGAGTTTGGTGCGGGAGAGGACACGGGCGGCAGAGTTCCTGATTATCTGCAGCTGTGGAGGGAGGAGTTGGGAAGGCCGACACACAGGCGTTTGCATAGTCGAGTCTGGAGGTGATGAAGGCATGAACAAGAGTTTCAGTGCCTGAGGGGTGAGGTAGTGGCGGAGTCGGGCGATGTTACGGAGGTGAGGGAAGGCAGAGGGGGTCATGGCTTGAATGTGGGGAAGAAAAGGCAGTTGAGGGTTGAACAAGACCCCCAGGTTCCTGACTGGCGGTGAGTTGGTGAGTTGTAGTGTACACCATGGAGGGTGATGTTGCCGGAGCCCGAGGTGCGGGGGCGCTGGGGGGAGACGATCAGGAGGGCCTCAGTCTTGTTCACATTCAACTGTAGGAAATTTGCCCTCATCCCGGACTTGATGTCCGACAGACAGTCTGTCAGGACAGCAGTGGTCCTGGAGTTGAGGGTGAGGCAGAAAGATAGAGTTGGGTGTCATCCGCATACATATGGATGTTGACCCCATGTCTGCGGATGATGTCACCGAGGGGGAGCATATAGATATTAAAGAGGAGACAGGGACAGAGCCCTGGGGGACGCCAGACATGACAGTGCGGGGACTGGAGGAGAAACCATTAGAGGCAACAAAGTGAGATGGTGAGAGAGATAGGAATCAAACCAGGCAACGGCAGGTCCGTGAAGATTGAGTAGAGAGGAGAGGCGGTGTATGAGGATGGAATGGTCGACAGTGTCGAAGGCGGCAGAGAGTTCGAGGAGGATAAGGAGGCAGAGGGAGCCCTGATCACAGATGTTCAGAATGTCATTCGTGACTTTGACCAGGGCTGTTTCACTCTACTTGACCGTACAACCTGTGAAGCGCTTTGAGACGTCTTGAAGACGTGATCAGGCATGGTGTCAAATGTGAGTGTCATTATTATAACGTTGTGTTTCAGACGAGACAGTGCCTGTGAAGCAGACAGACATCCCATGGCGCCTGAGGCAGATGCTGGATATTTTGGTGTATGAAGAGAAGCAGCGAGACACACAGGAGACAGGACCATGTCTGGAGTATCTGCTACAGCACAAGATCCTAGAGACACTGTGTACCTTGGGCAAGGCCGGGGTAAGCACATACACACAAACACAGTTAGGTACACACTATATACATACACATACACACAACACATACGCACTCACACGCAGATGCTGTGACTCACACATACACTTGTCACTCACATACCATTACGCACACAACACATACATACACACCACACACACTATCCACACACCACACACTACACACAGTACACACAGACCACATACACACACACCACACACATACTATACAAACAACAAGAACAAATTACATATGTAGAGCGCGTTTCATGTCTGGCGCTGGACAGTCAGGGATCCATCACACACACAAGAACATAGACACACACATACACACACAAATAGACAAACACACACAAACATAGACACACACAAATATAGACACACACACAAACATAGACACACACACCAGTTGGTCGATCAACAATACTTCACACTTCCAGTCACACAAGGTCCAGTCAGTCACCCTCCCCGGCCCCCATCAGTCTCACTCACACCCCTGCAGTAAAACTCTCTCCCCCTTGCTCCCCGCAGTAACCCTCTCCCCCCCATCTCTCCGCTTGCAGTATTCCCCTCTCCCCCTCCACCCCACCTTAACCCTCTCTTCCCCCCCTCTCCCCCTGCAGTACCCCCCTGGGATGAAGCAGCAGGTGCTGATCCTCATGACCCAGCTCCTGAGCCAGATTCAACAGCCACTACTGCCCCATGTCAATGTGCACCGGCCTGTACAGGTGTGTGACTGTCACCTTGGGGGTTGTGGGGGAGCACTGGAAGATGGAGGGAGGGTGGGTGGTGGGTTCACTGTTAGGTAACTGTGAAAGGTTACTGAAGGGCGCTAAGCCGAATGGCCTCGCTCTGTGCTGTAGCTCTCTGGTTTAGAGTAACGTGTCAGCCTGACTGTGTGTGTGTTTACTGTGTCTGACCGACTGTGTGTCATTCACATCGGCCTTCCCAACGCTTCCCTTCACAACCTGCAGATCATCCAAAACTCTGCAGCTCGTGTACTCTCACACACCCTCGCCCGACCCCATCACCCCCACCCTCGCCCAACCCCATCACCCCCACCCTCGCCCAACCCCATCACCCCCACCCTCGCCCAACCCCATCACCCCCACCCTCGCCCGACCCCATCACTCCCACCTTCGCCCGACCCCATCACTCCCACCCTCGCCCGACCCCATCACTCCCACCCTCGCCCGACCCCATCACTCCCACCTTCGCCCGACCCCATCACTCCCACCCTCACCCGACCCCATCACTCCCACCCTCGCCCGACCCCATCACTCCCACCCTCACCCGACCCCATCACTCCCACCCTCGCTCGACCCCATCACTCCCACCCTCGCCCGACCCCATGACTCCCACCCTCGCCCGACCCCATCTACTTCCACCCTTGCCCGACCCCATCATCCCCACCCTCGCCCGACCCCATCACTCCCACCCTCACCCGACCCAATCATCCCCACCCTCGCCCGACTCCACTGACTCCCCATCCCCCAGAGGATCGACTTCAAGATCCTCGTCCTCACCTTTCAGGCCGTCCATGGCCTTGCCCCCTCAACAACAACAACAACAACAACAAGATTGCATTTATAGAGCACCTTTCACGTCGGGAGGACGTCCCAAGGCGCTGGACAGTTGGGTCAGGACCCGAGCAGGGGGGAAATGGTCAGGGGGAGGGGAGGGAAGGGAGGGAGCGAGGAGGAGGTAGAGAGTAGAGAGGGGTGGTGAAGGCACGTTGAAGAAAAAGGTCTTGAGACCGGCCTTGAAGGAGGAAAGGGAGGAAGCGGCGAAGGCACTGGGATGGAGTTCCAGAGCCTCGGGGCTGAGAGGCTGAAGGCCACCGATGGTAGGGCGGTTGGGGCGGGGGATGTGGAGCAGACCGGAGCCAGAGGAATGGAGGGTATGGGCAGGTAAGTAGAGGGATAGTAGGTCGGAGAGGTAGGAGGGAGCGAGGCCGGGAATGGCCTTGTAGGTGAGGATGAGGATCTTGAATTCGATCCTCTGGGGGATGGGGAGCCAGTGGAGGCGAGCGAGGGCGAGGGTGAGGGCGAGGGTGAGGGCGAGGGTGGGAGTGATGTGGGCGCGGCGTCTGGTGCGGGACAGTACACGAGCTGCAGAGTTCTGAATGACCTGCGGTGTGGAGGGAGGGCCGGGAAGGCCGGCGAGGAGAGAGTTCCCATACTCCAGCCTTGAGGTGATAAAGGTGTGGACCAGAGTATCAGCCGCGTGAGGGGTGAGGTAGTGCAGTAGTCTGGCGATGTTCCGGAGGTGATGGAAGGCGGTGCCGGTTGTAGTGTGGATATGAGGAAGAAAGGACAGCTCAGGGTCGAGGGGAACCCCGAGGTTCCTGATGGCTTTGAGAGGTGGAGAGTGCGGAGCTGATGCTGTCAGCGCCTGAGGTGCGGAGGCGCTGACGTGAGCCAATCAGGAGGGCCTCAGTTTTGCGCACGTTGAGCTGAAGAAAGTTGTCTCTCGTCCAGGACTCAATGTCGGACAGACAGCTGTCAGGACATCGGGGGTTGAGGGTAGAGGAGGAAAGGTAGAGAGGAGTGTCATCCGCATACATGTGGGAGTTAACCCCATGTCTGCGGATGATGTCACCACAGGGGGAGCGTATAGAGGGTGAAGAGGAGGGGACCGAGGACAGAGCCCTGAGGGACTCCACATGAGACAGTACGGGGGGTGGAGGAGAAGCCATTTGCAGAGACAAAATGAAGACGATGGGAAAGGTACGACCTAAACCACTCAAGGACAGGACCTTGAAGGTTGAGGTGGGAGGACAAGCGGTGGAGGAGGATAGAGTGGTCGACCGTATCGAATACGGCCGATAGGTCGAGGAGGACGAGGAGACAGAGGGAGCCCTGGTCACAGATGGTCAGGATGTCATTGGTGACCTTGACCAGGGCAGTTTCTGTGCTATGGGCAGCACGGAAACCTGACTGAAGGGTTCGAAAAGTGAATGGGTGGAGAGGAAAGAGCGCAGTTGGGAGGCGACAACTCTTTCGAGAACCTTGGACAGGAAGGGGAGGTTGGAGATGGGCCGGAGATTGATAGCTGCGACGCATCAAGGGAGGGCTTTTTCAAAGTGGGAGTGATGGTGGCAGTTTTTAGGGGAATGGGAACAGAGCCAGAGGAGAGGGACAGGTTAATGGTGTCTGTGAGAAGTGGGGCAAGGAGGTGGAGCTGAGAGATAAGGAGTGGAGTGGGGATGGGTTAGGGTTAGGGTTAACCCTCCTACCTCTCTAACCTGCTGACTCCCTACCAACCTGTCTGCTCCCTCCGTTCAGCGGCCTCCGGCTGCTCCATGTCTCCCGCCCGACCCACCCTACCATCGGTGGCCGGGCTTTCAGCCTCTCTGCCCCCACACTCTGGAACTCCATCCCACAGTCCCTTCACCGCGCTTCCTCCTTTGCCTCCTTCAAGGCCGGTCTCAAGACCCTCTTCGATCGTGCCTTCGGTCGCTCTCCCACCTCTCTGCTTTCCCTACCCCTACACCACCCCTCCCCCATGCTCGGGTCCTGACCCCTGACTGTCCAGCGCCTTGGGACGTCCTCCCCGATGTGAAAAGTGCTCCATAAATGTAATTTTATTGTTGTGTGTGCTTACTGTGTGTGACTGTGTGTGTGCTTACTGTGTGTGACTGTGTGTGTGCTTACTGTGTGTGACTGTGTGTGACTGACTGTGTGTGACTGACTGTGTGTTTGCTGACCAGAAGCTGATACGGCTGTGTGGTCAGCCTCTGGACTCAGACACAGAGAAAGAGGAAGTACAGTTTCTCATCACAGTGTGTTTGAAACTCACGCAGGACCCTTACCTCATCACCTTCTTCATCGAGGTACGTACAGTTCACTCTAGCCACTGCTGTGCGCAGTTGGCTGCCGCGTTTCAACTAAAAAATACAGTCACTCCACTTTACAATATATCCCGTGGAATCCTGCGACTCAGTGGTTAGAGCACTCGCAAGTGGGAGACCTGGGTTCAATTCCCAGAAGGGAGATATCTTAGGCAAGTTTCCTTACTCCACACAAACACACACACACGCCTCTGGTTACCCAGCAGTAAGGAGGAACTCGGTTGTTAGTCGATTGGCGCATTGCTTTTCCGGGGATAATAATCCCTTCAAAAAAAAAATCGGGTCACTCAATCCACGACTGTTTGTGGGGACGCTGCTGTGCGCAATTGGCTACCGCGTTTCGACCACAAAACACATAGTCACTACACTTTAAGTATAGTCTGTGAAGCGCTTTGAGATGTCTCGAAGACGTGATAAGGCGCTGTATCAAATGGCAGGATTATTATTATTTAGAAGTGAAGTGAATGTTGTCATATTTTATAGATAAGAAAATAGGTAATAAATATTTATATTGTCTCTGTTCTTCCAACAGAAGGACTCAAACACTTCAAACAGCCCCTTGCCTTGTTCATCAGCTCAGCCACATGTCCGTGAGGAGACAGCCTTAGCTCTGCGCTCAGAGGGCAGTCAGTCAGGGTCTGACACTGACCCTGAGCGGGGATCCGGGAGTCAATCAGGGGTCAGCCCCCCAGTGACTCCAGCCGCCAATGCACGTCCCTGTCCCACAGCTCAGTGTCAGACTGAGAGTAACTTGGTTCGTGCCTTACTGACTCTGAACCAGAGTGAGGTGGGTATTTGTAAACTAACTGGCGGGGGAGTGGGTGGGTAGGAGGGGAGGGTCTGTTTGGCTCCAGGGTGACTTGCCTGGCAATCGAGCCCACCCTCTGTGCTAGTCTCGGTCCACTGCGCTTTCCTGAGCCAGTTGGGTTTGCGGCATTGCAATACTTGGCTGTTTGTGAGAAACCCCTGTACGCAGTTGTCTACTGCATTTTGCCCACCACGACACAAGTCACTACACTTCACATTATATTCTGTGAAGGGCTTTCAGACGTCTCGACGAGGTGATAAGGCGCTGTATCAAATGCAAGGTTTATTGTTAAGTAGCTCAGTGTCTCGCAATTGTCTCGCAAGCAAGAGGATCCAGGTTCGATTCCTGGGGGGAACAGGTCGGTGAAACGTTGGGCAAGTTTCCTTCCTCCACACACACACTTGCCTCTTGTTTACCTAGTGGTGAGTAGGAACCCGCTTATTAGTAGATTGGTGCATCACTTTCTGGAGGTAATAATCTTACCAAAAAAAAAAATTCTTTAAATTAAATAACAAATGTGCATGGCTATTGGGTAAGAGCAGGGGAGTGGGACTAGTCAGTAGCCTTTCAAAGAGCCAGCAGAGGCACGATGGGCCGAATGGCCTCCTTGTGTGCTGTAAGATTCTATGGTAATTTGGTCACTCAACGCACAGCTGTTTGTGGGACGCTGCTGTGCACAATTGGCTGCCGTGTTTCGCCCACAAAAAACAGTCACTACACTACAGTACATCCTGTGGAGGGCTTTGAGGCATCTCGATGAGTTGGTGAGAGGCTGTATCTGAACGCAAGGATTATAATTATTAATTATACTTTATTATTATTATATAATGTCAGAAACGCTGCTCTGCATTGAAGGCGCGTGAGGCCTTGCTGTTGCTGGTGGCGGTGCCTGAGGAGTCTGGCGTGAGGTGGATGGCTGGGAGCAAGGCCCTGAGACACACACTGACAGCAAGGCTGGCTGAGCTGTACCAGCTGATCCCAGACTCCATCAATCCTGGGGATGTGGAGTCACTTACACCAGTCAGCTGGCGGTAAGTCCGGAATGGGGGAGGCGGGGGTGAGGGAGGGGGGCTAACCAGCGTTTTGCCCACAAAATATACAGTCACTACACTTTACATTATATCCTAAGAAGCACTTTGCGACGTCTCAAAGACGTGATAAGACATTATATCAAATGCAAGGATTATTATTGTTATATCTGTCCTGGGATAATAAAGCAGGATTTGCCGTTCAGGACAGGTGGCCAGGTGAGAGTTGCCTGCTTTACTCTTCTCTGCGGAGACCTGAATGTGCTTTACATTGACTGTTTCCCCCCCCTCCCCCCCCATCCCCACCACAGCTCTCACTGTGCCAGCGGTCAGTCTGAGGAGACCCTGCTCTGCCCAGCGAAAGAGGCTGTGATTAGCTTCCTGTCGTGGCTGGATTACTGCGACCAGATGGTGAAGGCAGCTCAGCCAGTGAGTAACCATCACGGCTAGAGAGAGAGAGAGAGAAAACGTAACAGCGAGGGTTAGAGAGAGAGAGAGAATTTTAGAGAGTGAGAGTGAGCGAGAGAGCAGAGAGAGAGAGTGACAGCGAGTGTGTGTGAGAGAGCGAGTGTGACAGAATGTCTTAGAGAGTGTTACAGAGAGAGAATGTTAACAGAGAGAATGTGACAGCATGTCAGAGAGAGAGAGTGACAGCAAGTGTTAGAGAGAGACAGAGAGAGGGAATGTGACAGCATGTGTTAGAGAGAGAGAGAGAGTGACGGAGCATTAGAGAGAGCCTATCCACTGAGATTAGATTAGAGAGAGAGAGTGTTTGAGAGGGTTAGATGGAGAGTGAGAAAATGCCTTTTGGGGAGAGGGTTCAATTATTAATACTAATTATTAATACTGTTTATTTGGTTTCACCCACAAAACACACAGTCACTTCACTTTACAGTGTATCCTGTGAAGAGCATTCAGACATCTCGAAGACGTGATCAGGGGCTGTGTCAAATGCCAGGATTATTATTATTAAATTTCTCATGTGATCATGTGAAATTAGGTTAAAAAACCCCCACAAATTAGACTTTAATTGATTAGTGTTTAATTCCTTGGCTGGGAACAATCGCACACACATTGTCACACACTGACTCTGTCCCTCCTCATAGATCACTGCTGTTGCTGTGGCAAAGGCGATCCGAGATCAATTCTTTGTCAGCGTGTTGGAGCCAGAGCTGTCGCACGTGTAAGAGAACGTCCTTTGCCTTTTGCTCTTGACTGTCGTTACCAGATAAAATCATCTCTGCCCGGGACCCAGTCGCTTCCCCAGATCTTCGCCTCTCAGTCAGGAGGTCGTTGGTTCGATTTCCCCTTCTCTTCCATGTCGGGGACTACATAAAAACATAAGAATTAGGAGCAGGAGTAGTCCATTCGGCCCCTCGAGCCTGTGCCCCGCCATTCGATAAGATCATGGCTGATCTTCTGACCTAACTCCAGTTACCTGTGGAGTCCTGTAGCTCAGTGGTTAGAGCACTCGTTTTGCAAGTGAGAGACCTGAGATCAATTCCAGGCAGAGGGCGAAACCTTGGGCAAGTTTCCTTACTCCACACGTTCCTACTCCACACAGAGCCTAATAATATTCCCTCCAAAACCCAAAACAATAATAAATTGGTCATTTTCAATCTACGACTGTTTGTGGGACATTGCTGTGCGCAATTGGCTGCCGCGTTCGCCCACAAATATACAGTCAATTCACTTTACAGTGTGTTCTGTGAAGCGCTTTGGAACGTCCTCCCGACGTGAAAAGCGCTAATATCAAATGCGAGGATTATTATTACTCGCCCTCTCCCCATATCCCCTAATTCCTCTATTTTTAAAAATCTATCAGTCTCCGCCTTGAAGATGTTCAAGGACTGACATCTACAGCCCTTCTGGGGGAGTGATTCCATAAAGTCACTGCCCTCTGAGTGAAGACATGTTTCCTCAACTCTGTTCTCAAAGGCTGACCCTTAATTTTCAGACTGTGACCCCTGGTTATAGATTCTCCCACCGGGAAAACAGACCCTCAGTGTCTACTTTATCAGCCCTTTAAGAAATCGTATATGTTTCAATAAGTTCTCCCCTAATTCTTCTGTACTCTGGAGAATACAGCCCGAGTTTATTCAGACTATCCTCATAGGTCAGTCCCCTCATCCCAGGAACTAACCGAGTGAATCTACTCTGCACCCCCTCTCGGGCAAGTATGTCCTTTTATAAATAAGGAGACCAACACTGCACACAATACTCTCGGTGCGGTCTCACCAAAGCCCTATATAGCTGCAGCAAGACTTCCCTACTCTTGTACTCTAAACCTTTGGCAATGAACGCTAACTGCCGTTCGCCTTAGTTGCTGCTGCACCTGCAAACTAACTTTTGAGACTGGTGTACAATGACACCCAAATCCCTCTGAACACTAACACTATCTAATCTCTCGCCCTCTAGAAAATGATCTGTTTTTCTATTTATTCGGGTGAATAACTTCACACTTCCCTACATTAAATTCCATCTGCCACCTACTCGCCCACTCCCGGAGCCTATCTATATCCCGTTGCAATCTTTTTGCATCATCCTCAGAGCTCACTCTCCCACCGAGTTTAGTGTCATCCGCAAATTTAGATACGTTACATTCAATGTCCTCGTCCGGATCATTGGTGTAAATGGTAAATAGCTGAGGCCCAAACACTGATCCTTGTGGCGCTCCACTAGTCACATTCTGCCAATTCGAGAAGGACCCGTTTATCCCTACTCTCTGTTTTCTACCCGTTAGCCACTCTTCAATCCGTGCTAATATATTCCCATTAATCCCGTGGGCCTTAACCTTGTGCAATAGCCTTTTGTGTGGCACTTTGTCAAATGCCTTTTTAAAATCTAAATATACTACACTACTGGTTCCCCCCTCTCTAACCTGCAGATACATCTTCAAAAACTCTAAAAGATTAGTGAAGCATCACTTCCCTTTTGTAAAGCCGTGTTGACTGCCTAATCTTGTTATGGTCTTCCAGGAATCCCATAACGACATCTTTAATTAAGGACTCAAGAATTTTCCCTCCCACTGATGTCAGACTAACTGGTCTATAGTTCCCCATCTTTTCTCTCCCACTCTTCTTAAATAGTGGTGTTACGTTTGCAATCTTCCAATCAATGGGAACCGTTCCAGAATCCAGAGAATTTTGGAAGATCAAAGACAAGCCCTCCACTATCTCAGTAGTCACCTCTTTTAAAACCCGAGGATGTAGGCCATCAGGTCCAGGAGATTTATCAGTTTTAAGACCTGACAATTTATCTAAAACCATTTATTTACTAGTATTAATTTCCCCAAGTTGCTCGCTAACATTGTCTTCTTGGTTCCCCTCTATTCTTGGTAAACCTGGGGGATATCCTGAATATATTCTCTGAGCTCACAGTCTAGGCTGAGGCTCCAACAGCGCTGGTGGTGGGGTAGCGAGAGAGAGACGCATTGTCAGAGACACTGTCCTTCGGATGAGACGTTAAATCTCACTCACTCCCGTCTGCCCTGTTAAGGCGGATGTTAAAGATCTCCCACTGCACTGTCAGGAAAAGAGAATGGAGTTTCTCTCCCGGTGTCCTGGCCAGCAATCCCCCCACTAGATAAAGTCACTCCCCCCCAAGCCTTGGCTCTCGCAAACCTGCGCCTGATAATTATCGGAATTAGGTAAACAGGGAATGTGTCCCTCCAGAGAGAGAGAGCGCATTCCATTCCACAATCTCTCTCCGGGATTCCCATGTGCAGTTGGGATGCAGGAAATTCTCAGTTGGGTTTGGAGACTGTTAAGCAACGGTGACGGGTTTCCGTGTGTGTCAGACACCCGGCTGGGCCAAAAACAAGCGCATGTGTGGTGGAGGTTTCCGCATGTGTTTGTGTGTGTAGTGACTTTGGAGTGTGTGCCCGCAGGTGTGAGGTGAGGATCTTGAACTCCACAACGCTGCTTCTGACGATTGTACAGCAGGTGTCCTCGCCAAGGTTACTGAAGGAGCTCGTGTGTTTCCTGCTTGGAGAGGGAGGGGAGAGCGAGGCTGAGACGTCAGGCCAGCTAGCCAGTCACCCCCTCCTCTCCCACCTCATACAGCATTGCAACCATCTGTCTGACGAGGTGAGGCAAGATAAAAACAATAATAATTTGGTCACTCAAACCATGGCAGTTTGTGGGGACACTGCGGTGCGCAATTGGCTGCTGTGTTTCACCCACAAAACACACGGTCACTACACTTAGCAGTGTATCCTGTGAAGCGCTTTGAGACATCTCGATGACGTGATCAGGCACTGTGTCAAATGCCAGGATTATTATTATTATTAATGGTGATTAACGTCCCAAAACTCTTGTCACTCTTTCCCTCTATCCCGCCCTCCGCCTCACCCCATTCCTTCCCCATCTTCGGGTCGCGCCTGAGGAGCTTCCCCTTCGACCAACCATACCTACGGTGCCCCCCCCCCCCGGCTCAGTATCCTGCTCTGCCATTGTCGAGCGCTCTGGGGCGCTGCCCTGCATGAGGGGGCGCTGTGGGAATGCAAGTTGTTGTTGTTTGTTCTCTCACACAGATCAGTGTGGTGACCCTGCGGGTGTTTGAGCAGTTACTCAGGAAGCCTGAGCCGCAGGTGGTGTCCAGGCTGGTACTGTGGGACCTGAGGGACAGAGGGTATCGGGCCCCCAGCACTGGGCAGGACGAGGGCAGCAATGCTGAGAGCAGCCAGCCCCCCGAGACAGAGTGAGAGACTTCTCCACCCCTCGCTCACACACGCACACTCGCTCACACGCACACTCGCTCACACACACACACTCATTCACGCACACACACACTCACGCACCCACACTCGCTCACACACACACTCACTCACACACATTCACTCGCGCACACACTCACTCTCTCACACATTCACTCGCACACACACTCACTCACTCGCTCACACACATACACTCATTCACTCACACACTCATTCGCTCACACACACACTAATTCGCTCACACACGCACACACTCGCTCACACACACTCACTCACTCTCACACACACACTCGTTCACACACACACTCGCTCACACACAATCGCTCACACACACACTCATTCGTTCACACGCACACACACTCGCTCACACACTCACTCACACACACACACTCACACACAGATATATTTACATCCCCTTTTACCGCCGCAGGTCAGATGATCTGCTACAGTTTTGCTGATTGTGCGGCTGTCAGTGCGGTTCAAGGGAAGTGTTTGCCGTGTGTTTGCAGGGATCTGGACGAGGACCCATTTTTCACAGACATGTACATGGGGAGCATGTACCCCGCCTCTGACTGGCTTGCGGCCCCCACCACAACAACACTGCCAGCCGCCAGGGAGTCCGGCAACCCCCAGGTCAACAGGGTGGTCAATAGGTAGGGAACAAGCACAGCTCTTCACTCCCCATCTCAACAACACGGATGTAATTTCGCTCTCAAAACACACAGTCAATTCACTTTACGGTGTATCCTGTGAAGCGCTTTGAAACGTCTCGAAGACATGATGAGGCGCTGTATCAAATGCAAGGATTCTTATCATTAAATGTCCTGTGTCCCAGAGGTTAGAGCACTCGCCTCGCAAGCAAGAGGACCCGGGTTCGATTCCCGGGAGTGGTGGGGGCGAAACCTTAGGCAAGTTTCCTTACTACACACACACACACAGTCACACACAGACACACACACAGACACACACACACTCACACAGACACACACAGTCACACACACAGTCACACACACACGCGCCTCTGTTTTCCCGCAGTAAGTAGGAACCCGGTTGTTAGTCCTCTTGCTTGTGAGGCAAGTGTTCTAACCACCATTACAGGACTTCTGTATCTTAGTGGTTATCTAAATCTGATCCTTTATGCCCCCCCCCCCTCGCAACAGGAGGGTGCTCGAAGGCGCGGTCGAAGAGGAGGGTCTTGATATGGGCCTTGAAGGAGGTGAGCAAGGTGGCGTCTTCCCTTGCCTCCTTCAAGTAGCTCTCTTCTCTTCCTCCGCCTTGCCCCATCCTTCCCCATCTCACGCCTGAAGACCTTCCTCTTCGACCGTGCCTATAGTCACCTCCCCGCCCCTTCCACTGTGCTCCGCCATTGTCAAGCCCTCCGGGGCGCTCCCCTGCATGAGGGGACGCTGTGTAAATGCAAGTTGTTGTTGTTGTAGCTTTCTGTGCCTGGTTCCCGACACAGTAAAAACCTCCCACTTGGTGCCAGGAGCTGGATATGACACGTACCTACAGGATGCTCACCGGCTGGTAAGCGCAGGGGTGTTATGTGTAGGTGGTGGTGTGGGGGGTTATAGCTCTGCGTTACAGGGTGTTGTGGGTTTGAGCCCCCACCCCCCAAACACACGTCAGGGACTCTGAGCTCACAGTCCAGGCTGTCGCTCCAGAACAGAGCTGGGGGTGGTGGGGGAGAGAGAGAGAGAGACGCATTGTCAGAGATGCCGTCCTACAGATCAGAGGGTGGGGAGAGTGGGGGGAGGAGGGGAGGGAGGGTGTGGTGAGGAGGGTGGCCAAAGGCTCAGCTGAAGAGGAGGGTCTTGAGAGGAGGCAAGGGAGGGGGGGGGGGGGCGAGGCACAGGGACTGTGGGATGGAGTTCCAGAGGGTGGGGCAGAGAGGCTGAAGGTCTGACCGCCGATGGTGGGGTGGGCGAGGCGGGGGAATCTGGAGCAGGCCGGAGCGCGCTGAGCGGAGGCCGTGGAAATCAAATGCGAGGATTATTATTAATTATTGATTATTAATTGTTATGACGTTGACGGTGATGACTGTGTGCAGTTCCAGGGCTGCTGTGTAAACGCAGTGCAGTGGAAATGGCCTCTGGCTCCCAAGTCGTTGGAGAGCTGTGAGCGGAGCTGGACGTTTTACGAGGGCCATTTCCTGGCTGTGCTGTTTGACCGGATGGCAGGGCTCCTGGATCAGGTAGGCAGCGTGTGTTGGCTTATCAATGTGAGCCCCACATCCCCCAGCATTCCGGAGGATAACATGGACACGATGGAGAGAGAGAGAGAGAGCAGGGAATGGGGTGAGAGCAGAGAGCTCCAGTGGGGGAGCGACCCCCAGCACAGACACGATGGGGAGAGAGAGAGAGAGCAGGGAATGGGGAATTATAATTGTCCTCAGTGCACTCTCTGCTCTCTCTCTCTCACATCTCTCTCCCTCCTTCTCTCCCTCTGTCACACTCTCTCTCAGTCCCACTCTCTGCTCTCCCTCTCTCTCTCCCTCTCTCTCACTCTCACACACTCTCTCCCCATCTCTCTCTCACACTCTCACTCCCCACACTCTGCTCTCTCTCGCTCTCTCTCTCACACACACACTCTCTCATACTCTTTCCCTCTCACTCACACTTTCTCTCCTCCCTCCTCTCTGTCACACACACTCTCTCTCTCTCCCCTCCTGCTCTTTCTCTCACACTCTCTCTCTCCCTGCAGCCCTATGATCTGAACCTACAGCTGACCTCAGTGCTGTCCAGGCTGGCGCTGTTCCCCCACCCTCACCTGGACGAGTACCTGCTGGACCCCTACCTCAGTCTGACCCCCGGCAGCCGCTCGCTTTTCTCTGTCCTCATCCGCGTGAGTATCATAGCACCCCCCACCCCCCATCCCCGGGGACTCTGAGCTCACAGACCTCCAGTACAGCGCTGGGAGGAGGAGAGAGAGAGAGACGCATTGTTGGAGATGCCGTATGTGTCTGTATGGGGGTGGTCAGTGTACGTAGCTGTCGGGGTTGTGCTGATGCTATGTGTGTATGGGGCAGGGACTGAGGCGTGAGTGTGTGTATGTGTGGCTGTGTGTTGAACTGTGTGCTATGCTGTGCGTGTTTGTGTGTGACTGTATGTGTGATGGGGACGGTTGTGTGTGTGACTGGGTGCTCACCCTGTGTGTGTGTGTGTTACCAGGTGATTGGGGAGCTGATGCAGAGAGTACAGCGCGTCCCACACTTCGCCTCTAAACTGCTGTTTGTCAGGAAACAGTTGATGGGTCTGGAGCCAGAGGAACCGTGAGTGACAGTCAGCCGAGCGGGGTGTGGGGCGGGGGATTCCGTGGCTCGTGGTGTCGTCTCAGCCTTATCCGCTCCTTCCTCATGTCCAGGTTCCACTCATCCAGGGTCCTGTCGGCCTCCCCAACACTTCCCTCCATAAGCCGCAGATCACCCAGAACTCGTGTCCTCTCCTGCGCCAGCTCCGTGACCACATCACCCCCACCCTCGCCAGCCCGGCTCCACTGCTCCCCATCCCCCAAAGGATTCAGTTCACTTTCAGCCACTGTGCCCCGAAACTCTGTCACACTCTCCCTCTATCTGTCCCTCTGCCTCACCCCCTTCCTTCCCCATCTTCAGGTCGCGCCTAAAGAGCTTCCTCTTCGACCGGTGCCTGCGGTCACCTCGTCCACTCTCCCCCCCCCCCCCCCGGAGTCTCGCTTCCCTGCGTGAGGGATTCTGTGTAAACACAAGTTGTTGTTGTTGTTGCAGTGTGGATCACGTGACGTTGCTGAGAGCAGTGATCGTGTTGGAGGAATTTTGTAAGGAATTAGCCGCAGTTTCCTTCGTCAAGCACCCTGCCGAGCCCGACCAGCGCAGCACCCCCTTCGGAAAAGGGGTTTGGGGTTAGAAAGAGGTTTGGAAAAAGGGGAACAGAAACACTATAGCGATACTGGAATCCCCCCTTCCTTCCTAGCCCCCCCCCCCCAGCCCCCTCCGTGACCCCACTCCCCCCTCACTAAGCCTGCAGGACAGTAAGTGAACGAAACATGGCCATCCCATCCCATGTGCGATTTTATGGCATGTGCTGCTCTCGGTTTTATACTGTCTCCTTTTATTGGCCTCCACTCCCCCCACCCACACGGGATCTCTCGCTGTGATATCATTTAAAACGGGGAGTGGGGGTTAGGGTTTGCCCATTGATGTGGTTTGAGCCACAAGGAATTTAGCACTTGGAATCACGGTTAATTATTTGATTAATTATTTTATTGCACACTTAATGCGACACTTAATTTCCGATCAATTCTCACTAGGTACTTACACTGATCTGGAGGTGGGGGCTTCTACTGATCAGTGAAATTAATCTGTTGTGTTTTTATTCCTTTCTCTCTCCTCCACTCCCCCCCACCCCCACCAGCTGGTTTAACTGTACAGGGGGGCTCTTACACTAGGATGAGAGAGAGAGGGGAGGGGTGTGGAAGAGAGAGCGAGGGAGAGGGGGAGTGTGGGAGGGAGAGGGTAAGGGAGAGGGGGAATGTGGAGGGAGGGAGAAAGAGGTAGAATGGGGAAGGTTAAGGTGAAGATTAATCATGTCTGGGATTGCTCTCTGCACACAGCCTCCAGCAGGAACTTGCACAGTGTGTGTGTCTCTGATTACTCTCTTGTGAGAGACATTTACAATGTATAAAATCTCAAGTTTTCTCAAACAATCAGTCTCCTGAGCTCTCCATCTCTTGTCAGAAAACTCCAGTCTCTCTCTGGCACAGGCATTTAATAATAATATTAATAATACTTACATTATTTTTTGAAGGGATTATTACCCCCTGGAAAAGCGATCTGCCAATCGACTCGCCTCTGCTCGGCGCGCGCGCGTGTGTGGAGGAAGGAAACTTGCCCAACGTTTGGCCCTGACCTGACCCGTCCGGGAATCGAACCCGGGTCCTCTCGCTTGCCAGGCGAGGGCTCTAACCCCTGAGCTACAGGCGAGGGCTCTAACCCCTGAGCTACAGGCGAGGGCTCTAACCCCTGAGCTACAGGCGAGGGCTCTAACCCCTGAGCTACAGGTGAGGGCTCTAACCCCTGAGCTACAGGTGAGGGCTCCAACCCCTGAGCTACAGGTGAGGGCTCCAACCCCTGAGCTACAGGTGAGGGCTCTAACCCCTGAGCTACAGGTGAGGGCTCCAACCCCTGAGCTACAGGTGAGGGCTCCAACCCCTGAGCTACAGGTGAGGGCTCTAACCCCTGAGCTACAGGACTCTATAAAGGTGCCTGAACACTGGGACAGAGAGATGGGTGGGAGGAATGTGGGGAGGGAGAAAGGGGGTTAGGGGTGATGGGTGACTCCACTCTCCTCACAGGAGCAGGGCACTGGCTTTAATGAAGCTCTCCACCTCCTGTGGCGTCCTCAGGTACAGCTCAATCTCCGTGTCTGATATCTCCTCGTCCCCGGTCACGCAGTGGGAGGAGGGCCTCTCTCTTTCTCTCTCGCTCCCCCCTTGCTGCCCCCTCCTCTTTGGCTGGCTCAGACACGGGGGGAGGAATCCGCACGGGAAGTCCTGTGCGCATGTCTGTGTTGGGCTACCACGATCCCGGGACCTTTCCTCAGTGTGGGACACCCCTTGCTGGTTCTCCCACTCAGTGCTTTGTGACTCCCCCCCTTCCCCGTCTGCCCCACGCGGTGTCTCTCCCTCTCCGTCCCCCACTTCCTGGCTTCCGTTAACCAATGAGTGTCTGAGCAGCACCGCTCTGTGTCGCAACACATCACCGGCGTATTTCACCACCGTCTTAGGCTCGAGCCGCTGTGTCCCGAGCCAGGGTAACCGTGCCGCCAGGCTGACCAGCACCTGGCACAGCTCACGCAGTCGGAGGTTGGCTGAGCCGGGGTGCCGCACGCTGCATAGTTTACAGAAACGCGCCAGGCTGTAGCGGAGGCGCTGAGCGGGGGCCAGTGACTGCCAGGCCAGGTAGGCAGCGGCTGTGAGGATGGGCACCGGGTGGCGGCCCGTCACTAGCCATGTCTCGCCCGCCAACTCCACCAGCTGCACCGCCCGCTCCGTCACACGGACCCTATCCTCCACCAGCCCTGGGGAGTCTGAGACGCCTGCCTGGAACAGCTGGAACCTGTGGAGAGAGGAGAGAGAGAGGACTCGGCTCAGTCTTAGCATCACAATAACAACAATCCTTGTGTTTGATGCAGCGTCTGATCATGTCTTCGAGACGTCTAAAAGCGTTTCACAGGACACACTGTAAAGTGCAGTGATTGTGTGCTTTGCGGGTGAAACATGGCAGCCAATTGCGCCCAGCGACGTCCCCACAAACAGTCGTGAAGCAAGCGAGTGTTTTTATCTGGGGGATTGTCAACACCGGAAGATATAACCAGCAGTGGTGCCAAACTAGTGTAAGGAACTCCCTCCCTCAATCCCTCCGCCTCGCAACCTCCCTCCCTCCCTCCTTCCGAATCCTGCCTAAAGACCTTCCTTTTCGATGGTGCTTACAGTCACCTCCCCCCTCCCTCCCTCTCCCCCTTGGCTTGGGGTCAGACTCTGCCACTGTCAAGCGCTCCAGGACGCTACCCCCCAATTGAGGGGAGCTGCATAAATGCAAGTTGTTGTTGTGTGTAACTCACCCCTGACAGTGGGTGTTGACCAGGTCACTGAGGGCCAGACTGGGGATATCGATGTGCAAGAGAACGAGAAGGCGGAGGTAGAGGCTGGAGACGAGGCTGGGGTCTGTGTGGAGCAGGGAGCAAACGGTGCCCAGTGTGAGGGGCCAGGAATGCTGACGGCAAGAGATATAGACACAGCAGCCCACCAGAGCCTCCTTCTTACACAGCCTGGCTTGGAGCAACTCCTCGTGTTCGTAAGCCTCCCGATACAGCCCACTGGCGGTCTCCTCCAGCACCGCCCGCAGCCGCAACACTCTGCACACGTCACGCACACGCTTCAGACCTGCGAGCACACGGGATCGACACGGAGCGTTAGAAGGGTGACTGAAAGCACGGTCGAAGAGAGTCTTGAGGTGGGTCTTGACATAGGCGAGGGAGGGGGCGAGGCGGAGGGAATGTGGGATGAAGTTCCAAAGGGTGGGGGGGGCAGAGAGGCTGAAGACCTGACTAGTGATGGTGGGGCGGACTGGACGGGGGACGTGACCCAGGCCAGAGCTCACTGAGCAAAGGGAACAGATAAGTTGGTTGGGAGTTAGAAGGTCACAGAGGTAGGGAGGAACAATAATAATACTTGCATTTGATATAGCGCTTTTCACGTCAGGAGGACGTCCCAAAGCGCTTCACAGAACACACTGTAAAGTGAATTGACTGTATATTTGTGGGCGAACGCGGCAGCCAATTGCGCACAGCAATGTCCCACAAACAGTTGTAGATTGAAAATGACCAATTTATTATTGTTTGTGGTTTTGGAGGATTATTATTAGGCTCTGTGTGGAGTAAGGAAACTTGCCCGAGGTTTCGCCCTCTGCCTGTCGTAGAGGGCCTTGAAGGAGAGGACCAGAATGTTTTACTGTATCCTCTGGGGGACGGGGAGCCAGTGGAGCGAGGGTGGGGGTGGACAGCTGGGCTGAGCCACAAGAGGGCGCCATTCTGTGGCCAATCGCCACTACTACAGCTATTCAATGGCACAGACGGAAACCCGTCACCTTTGCTTAAGAGTCTCCAACCCAAACTGAGAATTCCCTGCATTCTGACTACACATGGGAATCCCAGAGACAGATTGTCGGAATGGAATGCTCTCTCTCTCTCTCTCTCTCTCTCTCCGGAGGTCCTGTTTACCTAATTCCGGAGAGTATTAGGCGCAGGTTGGCAAGAGCCAAGGCTTTGTGGGGGGAGTCCAGAGTGTGTGTTGGGTAACTGCTGGAGTCTAACCAGGTAAACCCACACAGAGTGTGGCCATTGATATCGCTGTCTGGCCAAGCTGTCCCGCTGCTTGTGCAGCTCCGACCCCCCTCCCCGTTATGGCTTTGATTTGCAACCAATTTGCGCACAGCCAGGGATTACTTTTCCGGTACTTTACCATCTCACCGTGGATTTGGTTACGACAGGGCGTCTTGACCTCAGCTGTGCTCCTGTAATACTTCACCTCTGTGGGAATAACACATCGGCTGTTAATGTGGCTTCCACCGCCTCCCCGAAACTCAGAGACAGGAGTGGGAAAACAATCAAATAATAATATTCCTTCATTTGACACAGCGCTTTATTATGTCTTTGAGACGTCTCACAGCGCTTCACAGGACTCGCTGTAAAGTGTAGTGACTGTATGTTACAGGCGGATGCGCAGGGATTATTAGTCCCCAGAAAAGCGGTCAGTCAATCAACTAACAACCGGAGTGACTGACCTTGAAGGAAAGCTTCCTCGGTGCGTGTGGTGGTGAGGATGCCCTCAGTCAGCACACAGCCACACTGGGTACAGACCAGATGGCTCTGCGTGTAGTGTTCATCCTCCTCCACCTCCCCCGAGCCACACTCCGGACACCTGGTCTGTCTTGACATTCCTTCCCCAGACCGAGTCTCACCCCTGCCAACAACAACACATCACGCTTACACGGCGCCGCTCACGTCGGGAGGACTTCCCAAGGCACTGGACAGTCTGGGATTTGGAACCGATCTGTGGGTTGGGATCCGGAGGGGGTGGAGGGGGTGGAGGGGGGGACGGTGGGCGTAGAGAAGAGTGACTGAAGGTGCGGTCGAAGAGAACACAAGAAAACTATAAACACTGGCGGCAACATCACACTACGCCCTCCGTCGCACTCACCGCACACCAGATCATCACACTCCGCAAAGCAAAGCGCTTCACAGAACAGGTTAAGTTCAACAATAATAATAATTCCTGCATTTGATACACAGCCCCACAATAAACAAACACCTCATCCCTTCACACACACTCCTACACCCCTTCACACACACTCCTACACCCCTTCACACACACTCCTACACCCCTTCACACACACTCCTACACCCCTTCACACACACTCCTACACCCCTTCACACACACTCCTACACCCCTTCACACACACTCCTACACCCCTTCACACACACTCCTACACCCCTTCACACACACTCCTACACCCCTTCACACACACTCCTACACCCCTTCATAGTAACACTACTGTGTGTTACTGTCTCTGTTGCTCTGTGTGTGTTTCTATCTGTGTCTCTCAATGTCTCACTCTGTGTGTGTGTGTGTCTCTGTCTCTCCCTCTCTGTGTGTGTGTGTCTCTCTCTCAGTCTCTCACTCACTGTGTCTCTCTCTGTGTCTCACCATCTCTCTCACTCTCTCTGTCTCTCTCTCAATGTCTCTCACCCTCTCCCTCTCTCTGTGTCTCTCACCCTCTCCCTCTCTCTGTGTGTCTCTCCCTCTCTGTGTATCTCTCTCTCTCTCTCTCTCACTGTCTCTTCCTCTCTCTGTGTGTGTCCCTGTGTGTGTGTGTGTGTCTCTCACCTTCTGTGTGTGTGTGTGTCTCTCACCCTCTGTGTGTGTCTCTCTCACCCTGTGTGTGTCTCTCACCCTGTGTGTGTGTGTCTCTCACCCTCTGTGTGTATGTGTGTGAGGGGGTGGGGGGAGGTGTGTGCGTGTGAGGGGGTGGGGGGAGGTGTGTGTGTGTGAGGGGGTGAGGGGTGTTTGTGACGGGGTAGGGGGTGTGTGTGAGGTGGTGGCGGTGTGTGAGGGGGTGGGGATGTGTGTGAGGGGGTGGGGGTATGTGTGAGGGGGGGGTGTGTGAGGGGGTGGGGGTGTTGGTGACGGGGTGGGGGGTGTGTGTGAGGTGGTGGCGGTGTGTGAGGGGGTGGGGGTATGTGTGAGGGGGGGGTGTGTGTGAGGGGGTGGGGGTGTGTGTGAGGTGGGGGGTGTGTGAGGGGGTGGGGTGTGTTGGTGACGGGGTGGGGGGTGTGTTGTGAGGGGGTGGGGGTGTGTGTGAGGGGGGGTGTGTGTGAGGGGGTGGGGGTGTGTATGAGGTGGGGGGTGTGTGAGGGGGTGGGGGTTGTTGGTGACGGGGTGGGGGGTGTGTGTGAGGGGGTGGGGGTGTGTGTGAGGGGGGGGGTGTGTGTGAGGGGGTGGGGGGTGTTGGTGACGGGGTGGGGGGTGTGTGTAAGGTGGTGGCGGTGTGTGTGAGGGGGGGGTGTGTGTGAGGGGGTGGGGGGTGTTGGTGACGGGGTGGGGGGTGTGTGTGTGAGGGGGTGAGGGGTGTTTGTGACGGGGTAGGGGGTGTGTGTGAGGTGGTGGCGGTGTGTGAGGGGGTGGGGGTGTGTGTGAGGGGGGGGTGTGTGAGGGGGTGGGGGTGTGTGTGAGGTGGGGGGGGTGTGAGGGGGTGGGGGGTGTTGGTGACAGGGTGGGGGGTGTGTGTAAGGGGGTGGGGGTGTGTGTGAGGGGGGGGGGTGTGTGTGAGGGGGTGGCGGTGTGTGTGAGGGGGGGTGTGTGTGAGGGGTGGCGGTGTGTGTGAGGGGGGGTGTGTGTGAGGAGGTGGGGGGGTGTTGGTGACGGGGTGGGGTGTGTGTGTGAGGGGGTGGGGGTGTTTGTGACGGGGTGGGGGGTGTGTGTGTGAGGTGGTGGCGGTGTGTGAGGGGTGGGGGTGTGTGTGAGGGGGTGGGGGGTATTGGTGACGGGGTGGGGGGTGTGTGTGTGTGAGGGGGTGAGGGGTGTTTGTGACGGGGTAGGGGGTGTGTGTGAGGTGGTGGCGGTGTGTGAGGGGGTGGGGGTGTGTGTGGGGGGGGGGGGTGTGTGGAGGGGGTGGGGGTGTGTGTGAGGGGTGGGGGGGTGTTGGTGATGGGGTGGGGGGGGTGTGTGTGAGGGGGTGGGGGTGTGTGTGAGGGGGTGGGGGGTGTGGGTGGTGTGTGAGGGGGGTGGGGGGTGTTGTGAGGGGGGGGGGTGGGGGTGGGGGGTGTGTGAGGGGGGGGTGGGGGGTTGGTGTTTGGTGACGGGGGTGGGGGTGGAGGGGGTGGGGGGTTTGTGAGGAGGTGGGGTG